CCCCTGCCCCGCCCTCCTCCCTGGGCCTTCCCGCCCTCGCCCTCCCACGCACCGCCCGGGCCTTCCCGCCCTCGCCCGCGGGTCCTTCCTGGGCCTGCCCAGGCCTACCTGCCCACACCCGCCTCGGCCTTCCCGCCCTCACCGGCTCGGGCCTTCCCTTCCTGCCCAGGCCTTCCCGCCCTCACCCGCTCGGGCCTTCCCTTCCTGCCCAGGCCTTCCCGCCCTCACCCGCTCGGGCCTTCCCGCCCTGCCCAGGCCTTCCCGCCCTCACCGGCTCGGGCCTTCCCTTCCTGCCCAGGCCTTCTTGCCCACACCTGCCCGGGCCTTCCCGCCCTCACCCGCCCGGGCCTTCCCTTCCTGCCCAGGCCTTCTTACCCACACCCGCCTCGGCCTTCTGCCCTCACCGGCTCGGGCCTTCCCTTCCTGCCCAGCCTACTTGCCCACACCCGCCTCGGCCTTCCCGCCCTCACCCGCCCGGGCCTTCCCGCCCTCACCCGCCTCGGCCTTCCCGCCCTCACCCGCCCGGGCCTTCCCGCCCTCACCCGCCTTGGCCTTCCCGCCCTCACCTGCTCGGGCCTTCCCGCCCTGCCCGCCCTCGCGTGCCCGCCCCGCCCCGCTTAGGCCTTCCCACGCCCCGCCTGGCCCTTCCCGACCTTTCCCATACCTGTCCGCCTCCAGTTGTTGCTTCCATCGCTTGCCAAGTTGTGTTGAATCTGACGCCCGTGCTCTCCCCACACCGTAGCCCCCACCTGGCACCCAAGTCGCCCCATTCCCTGCATGGTGCAGGTCAAAGGTCAGTTCTTTCTCAGCCTCCTCTGTCTGTGCAAAAGCAGATTACACATACAGGACCTGATCCACCCGTTCCTCATCTAGATTGTTGGTGTACCTTTTTTTTAAAAAAGAATTTTTTTGCCAAGGTGATATACAGAGTGGTTATAGTTACATAAGTACGTTTCTTGTCAAACTTTTTAACTCCTCCCCCATTTTTCTCCCTGAAAGATTAAATGAAAGATTATTTGACATTGCCAGAGAACCACGCAGACATCCAGGTACAGGGAACAAACAAAGATTATTGCCGGGAAAGGAGGCCGGCAAGACTCCTCACAAGGGAGAAGTGAGAAGAAGCACCGGCTGTTGTCTGAGGTGACCTTTATAACCTAGGGAATTTAGAAAGGGCTAGGGGAGGCAGAGACCCTGGTGTGGACGTGTGGGCCAGGGTCTTCATCATAGAAGGCTAGGATATATGGCTACTGCCCAAGTAGTAGATAAGGGCCCTGCAACTGCCCAGACCTGAAGGTCACTGAGGGGCTCTTGCTGCCTTATATGGGGGTAGCTGCCCCAGAGACGTGCCATACCAAGGTAAAGGCTGGTTATTTACTGCCTTTACTACATGGGCCTAGTGTTGCCTAGGAAGGGAGCATGCTAAAACTGTGAAGGGAAGGAGTGGACTAAGCTATGGAAAGGACTTAATTTGGCTAACACTCCCACTTTCCCTCTCAGTCCCCCCCCCCAAGTTGTACAGATCCTTTCCAACTTACTGTCTTGTGAGTATCACTGTTGCATTGGTTTCCCCTTCGTCTCACTATGGTGTTTCTTTCTGCTTGGAGTTAAACACACAGACCATGCACATGGGCACACATCTCTAGATACTGAAATTGTATCCCTTACTTAGAATTCTAGCAAGTGACATCTCCATCTAGAACTTCTTTTCTCTCTCCCTTTTTTTTTTTTTTTTTTTTTGTGCCGGTAGTGGAGCTTGAACTTGGTCTGAGCGCTGTCCTTAAGCTGTTTTGCTCAAGGCTAGCGCCCTACCACTTTGAGCCACAGCTTACTTCTGGCTCTTGGTAGTTAATTGAAGATAAGAGTCCCCTGGGTTTTCCTAAAGCCTGAGATGTATTTAAACTGTGATGCTTAGATCTTAGCCAACTGAACAGCTTGAATTACAGGCATGAGCCCCTGGCTCTGGGCTTAGAACTAATATTTACTCTTACTGAATATCTGCAGTACTTTCTAATAACTTAGGTACAAGTTTTTCTTTTAAACAGTAAACCGACCTTTATGTAATATCTCCTGCATGGCACCACATATATATGTATGTATATACATACATATATGATATATATAATCTCTCTCTTTTTTTTCAGTCAGGGGCTTGAACTCTGGGCTTGGGTGCTGTCCCTGCTCTCTTCAGCTCAAGGCAAGTGCTCTACCCCTTGAGCGTCACCTCCAGTTTTCTAGTGATTTATTTGAGATAAGAGTCTCAAGGACTTTACTGCCTGGGCTGGCTTTGAACTGCCATCCTCAGATCTCAGCTTCCTGAGTAGCTAGGATTACAGGTGTAAGCCACCGGCGCCAGGCTGAGGCACCACATATAATACTGTTCTTCATATAAAGTAGAAGTGTAAAGTGTGTGACTACTAATGGTACAAGCCATTTTAGGAACAGTAGCTGCAACAGCGTACAGGATGGTATTGATGGGAAGATAGGACAGTTTTAGTGTCTAGTAGTAATTTAATTACCCTATCTCATGACCAACTTAGTAGCTGACTGGATGATAGGAGAAAAATACAGGCAGGAACCAGGGTAGATTCTAATTCATGAGCCTGGGAATTTGGCCTGAAAAGTATCAATAGTGTAAGTTTTATAGCAGAAATGAACTCAGCACAAACAGGTTTGCAAAATTCAAGATGATAGGCCACCTAGAATTTGCCCAGCGTTGTTAGAAATACAGGACTAAAGCTCAGGAACAACTGTACCAAATACATGCATGATTCACCATGAAGAACCACAGTTGAAGTCACTGGTGTGTATGATGGAAAGATTAGGGAAGTACGTATTTATAGAGAAGAGCAGAAGGCCAAGAGTTAAACAAGAATTACCCATATATAGGAAGCAAAAATATAGGAGAGGGCTGGGAAGGTGGCTCAGTGGTAGAGCGCTTGCCTTGCATGCCTGAGGCCCTGGGTTCGATTCCTCAGCACCACATAAGCAAAAAGAAAAAAAGCTGGAAGTGGTGCTGTGGCTCAGGTGGTAGAGCGCTAGTCTTGAGCTGAAGAGCTGAGGGATAGTGCCCAGACCCAGAGTTCAGGCCCCACGACTGGACCCAAAAAAACAAAACAAAACAAATATAGGAGATATAAAACTTGGAGAAGGACATTGTAACAGGAATAAAGAAAGATGCTTTACAATCTAGTATTAGGAGTTGGGATTATTTGGAAAGATGGGAGTTGTAGGCCAGTTGTTTTTTTTTTTTTTCATAGAAAAAGTACAATTTTAACACCAAGCATTTGACATGGAAACACCTCAGAAAGCACATAGCTTGTTGGTTTCTCCAATTTGCCTTATCTAAAAATTTGCCTTATCTAAAAATCATTCTAATGGAACATCCTTCAAACAACCAAATATTTTTCTGTATGAATACCTTTACTTTAAAAGGCAAATATCCTTATTTATTGACACTATCTTGTTACTTAGTTTTCACATAAAATAAGGAATTGAAGTACTGCTTTTACTTATAGCAAACCCAAGCACATTGTTCCTAGTCTTCCCACCTTCCAACCCAATGAGGTGTGAGTGTTCTGTCAGCTTTAATTACTACTCCAGGGAAATTAATCAAAACTACAAACCAGAAAATGGCTTTAACTAGATTTCTTGGGTTGTATTGGTTACGTAACTTTTAAATTTTATAAAAACTAAAGGTCTGGCAACCTGTGGTTTACATTTATAATCTTAACTACCCAGGAGGCTAAGATCTCAGGATAACAGTGTGAAGCCAGCTCAGGAAAACCAATCTGAGAGACTCATTTCCAATTAACTGACAAAAGCTAGAACTAGAAGTGTGGTTCAAATGGTTAGATTTTTACCAGCCATGGGTGGAAAACCTGACTGGTGTTTGAGGACATGAGTTCAAGCCCAGTACCAGAAAACAAAACAAGCAAACAAAAAACAACAGTGAGGTAGATTAATAAATACCCAGTTTATTAACAAGTTTATAATAATTATAATTTATAATAAAAGATAAATGAGTTCTTAGATTCAATTTTATATTTAAACTCAATAATCCTTTAATTTTGATAACAGACTCAACACAAAATGTCCTTTCTAATGTCATGAAATAGTTCAAATCACTTTCTAGGTCTATCAATAAATATTATTTGAAAAAGATACGAGGTAATTCTTGCTCCCCCTCCACAAGGATCCTGAAAGGCTAATAAGCACATTGGTGGATTACTAAAGAAAAATGTAACTGGGTGCTGGTGGCTCATGCTGAGATCTGTACGTTCAGTTCAAAGCCAGCCCAGGCAAGAAAGTCCGTGAGACTCTTACCTCCAATTATCTACTAGAAAACCAGAAGTGGTGGTGTGGCTCAAAGTGGTAGAATACTAGCCTTGAGCCAAATAGCTGAGAATAGCACCCAGGCCCTGAGTTCAAGCCCCACAGCCAGGAAAAAAAAAAAAAGGGAATGACAGCCTTCTTGCTCTTTCTGATCTGGAAAAGTCTAATCATTCTTCCCTTCCTTGATTACATCTTAAGCAAAATAGGAATCGTTATCCTTGCTGCCTCTCAGGTTCATAAGTTTATTGTGAAAATGATTACATTATAAAATACTTTAGGCTTCATTGAAAAAAGATGGTATATGAATGCTAGTAACTTAGTTATTATAAGTTGCATAAATATTTTTTCCAAGAAAACATTTCAAGTTTTATGAGACAGTGTTTAGATGAATATCTTTACTCTTCCATGCTTTAATTGCATGGAGTTGTTTTGATCAGAGGTTACAGAAATCCTAATCCGGTTTACCCCAGTGTCTGCCCACGTCAGGACTCCTTTGCAAAGGAGAACTTTTGGGTGTTTTGGCCAGTCCTATAGCAGGTTGCTCTAGGTTGCTCTGTAGCAAGTGATTACAATGGAGATGCTCTGTGGTATTAATTGAAGCCAGGGCTGTTGCTTTCATTTTAGGCACTGTAGTCTCTTATTCAGGAGACCGCTGTTTGTCGTAGTTTACTCCTGAATCACAAGAGAAACAGGGCAGAAGACCGAAGGCCTGTCCGCCTGCCTCTTTTTGTCTGCTTTGTTTGTGCACCACAGAGATGTCCCCAAAATTATTGAACATGTCGACAAACAGCTCACACGTGGTTGGAAGCCCACCATGCCCAAGTTATGTGTACTTGTGGGTTCCTTCTTTTGTGCCCAGAAGCAACTTGTATCTTCATAGAAAGCAAGCATTCTGCTACTCAGGAGGCCATCTCTCCTGGAGCTGAAATCCCCATCCCAGGCGGGGTGCTCCTGTATGCTCCAGTGTGCAGCGCCCGAGGCAAGCTCCATTTCCATGTGTTCCCACTCTACGAAGTCTGCAACGGGGCTTTCCAACTGGGCTTCCCGTGTCAGCCTGGCCAGGACACACAGGCACAAAGCTGCACTGAACTCCAAAAATTGAGTTTTTAGCTAGGGGCCACTCTACTCCCAGGTAGAGATACATGAGTTCTTGGATAGTTAAGGCTAAAATGTGTCCATGAAAATAGCTCTGAGGGCTGGGGATGTGGCTCAGTGGTAGAGTGCTTGCCTAGCATGCATGAAACCCTGGGTTCAATTCCTTAGTACCACATAAACAGAAAAAGCTGGAAGTGGAGCTATGGCTCACGTGGTAGAGTGCTAGCCATGAGCAGAAGCTCAGGGACAATGTCTAGGCCCTGAGTCAAGCCCCAGGACTGGCAGAAGAAGAAGAAGAAAGAAGAAGGAGAAGAAAGTAGCCCTGAGAGAGAAAACACTCCTATGGTTACTTGGAGTGAGAGA